TAGGTTCCCCAAGATCTCTTCTGCATAGTAAGTTGTTTTAAGCATCAAAACGAATGTCGGTTTCTTTTTATATCAATATATCTTATTTACCTTCTTATTTATATAGCTGACCAGAAGCCTTCGAGAGAAAAACATAGGATATAGAAAACTTTGACCTTACCTGCTCCCTAATGTGCTTGCAGCCAGAAAAAAAAAAAAAAAAAAAAAAAAAGTAATTTCGTATTATTCATCACTTTGCCAGAGACAGTCATCTCTCTACCTCATAGGAAGAGCCGTACTCGGTCAGATCTCTGTACATATTTGATACCTATAAACAGTGTTACCATTTACTTAGGGTTTGGAAGTTTGTTTTGGTTTTGTTTTGGATTTTTTTTTTTCCCCTGAAGGGGATCATGAGAGGAATAGCGGGTCAGACAGGAAAAAAAAAAAAAAATTTCTCAGCTTTGCTCCCGACACGGCCATGAAAGGACTGAAATTCTTCAGAAGTCACTCAGTCTTTACTTCTAGGTCCCCTTTGTAAAAGCAGCCGTCACAAGTTGGACCGGGGCTGCCTTCCCAGCGAGGCCCCTCTACCTGCGCTCCTCCACAAAACTCCTAAAATACTTTTTTTCTACACCACACCCCCCCCCCCTCACCGTGGTAACAACTTCTCTTGGTGTCATCTCAGGGCTGTCTCAGATTACATTGTTTGGGATCTGCACTTTGAACATTGTCTTAGGGTCCTGCACTGCCTTTTGAACCGAGATGCAGGCGATATACTGTTAGCCCAGCCCCCCCTGGCCCCCCCGAGGCAGGGTCCCCACGCCGCGCTGCCCCGTCACGCCACGGCCGGGACAGGCCCCGGCGCCACCGGCTCCTCCGAGCCTCTGCTGCCGAGCATCCCTGTTGCTAACAGGCTGCTGTGGGGGAAAAAAAAAAAAAGAAAGAAAAAAAAAAAAACAAAAAACAGAAAAAACCCCAAAACACGCAAAAAAAACCCCCAACCAACCCGTTTTGATCCGAAACAGCAAATATGAAGAAGCTTTTTGCTATTGTTGCTGCTGTTGTGGCGGTAATAGCGGTGGTGGTGGTGATGGTGTTTTGTTGGGTTTCGGTTTGGGGGCTTTTTTGGTTTTTTTGTTGTTTTTTTTTTTTTTTTGACACAGCCTGCTGTGCCACTACATGCACACTTCATGGCACTCAAGCATGAACTCTTATTTACAGCAGGAAAAAAATGCCCTCCGTGCTTCTCCTACATTTGCAGACAGTGCCAGGGAGTGGAGGAGTGAAGGGAATAGCCATTCTTCACTAGGTCCCTTTATCTCTCAAAATACGGGGTGCCCACGGTCTCACGTCGATAAAGCAGTGACACTGGGAAACGTGCATTTCTTCCATCATTTCAGATTTGAATCATGCTGCACCCCCCCCCCCCCCCCGCCTTCACCATCCTATTATCCAAGTTCTGCATTGATTACCGGGAGACTGAAAATCAGCGTATTGGAAGAAGCAGGAGTTTAGACGGAGGCACATACTTTAATTCAGAAAAGCTATACAGGGACTAAGTTCTTGTGAGTGTTCTCGAGGGAGACTGGAGATTAAAACGTATTTACCACCCACCCCCCCGAAATATCTTCATCCCAATCAAGGCATAACTGGTTTATACAAAGAATTTTATGATAAAAGGCAATAACACAATGTCATAAAAAACCTCTATAAAATTGTTAAAGAGCAGTTTGTTTGCATTTCTCCTGATTGATATGTAAATACAGTTTGAACTGTGTTTGCTCGGTCTCTAGTGCTTAATAAAGAGATGAATTCACCTTTCTGTGGAACAAGTAAACAGACTTTAAACTAAGCCGACATCAGACAAAGTGGAAACGAGTTTATTTAATCGAAACTAAATCTAGTTTAAGAAAGATAAGTCAGTGTACATAATAATCCATTACAGTAATTACACCCACCACCAAATATGTGTTTATGAGGTTGTCGAGACACAATAAAATTCATTTATTTCCCCCGAAGTCTATAATGAAAAGTCACTGGCTGGATCTCTATCGAACATGTTAACTCCAATATTGGGGGGGGGGGGGGGGGGGCATGTTTCTCTGCTGTATTAATGCCTTTCAGTGCTCCTCACTTATGAACGTTCCTGTGTTTGAAAGGACGCAAACATTAATTACATCTGAAGGGGAAATGTCGACTTAACGACAGCAGTTTCCCCTCCGTCTTTTATAGTATCTCCGGGAGAAAGTAACCCTAATTTTAAAAAGCCGTAGAGTTAACCTTGCTATCGCTCCCTCCGCAGGAGCAGGCAGCGCCGTGCCACGGACCAGGAATTCCCAACACTTTATTTTTTTAGCAGAAATAAAACATTAAGCTCCAGAGCACACCACCACCACCACCCACCACCCCCTCGCGCCATGCTTAACATGATGTTATAGATCTGAAACGAATAATTTGCGTAAAGAAAGGAAGGAAAAAAGAAATATTCTTTGGGTTAGTTGAGAATGTCGCTGTATAAAGCAGGACAGAATATAAAGAATGAAAGGTCTCGAAATTCCTGTTGACACACGTGATGTTCTCTAGTTAGAAATAAAGGGGGGGGGGAAGAGGTAGAAAAGAATCCATTAATCTTTTTTTTTTTTTTTTTCCTTCTATTTCCCTTTTTCTCCATGCAGTCTAGCACTTGGTGTCCGAGAAACACCGGCTATCTTGGATAAATAAAAGACTGGAGCTTTCGAAAGCTGCTACTTAAACAGGAGGTTGGGTTGTTTCCATCCCGGGCAAGCTGCTTGCTTTCTCGTCAAAAAAATATGAGCATTTCATAATACCTCTGTAATCCAGAGGTCTTTCAATGACTGCAATTCTCTTCCGTGGTTTAACTGAGGGGGTTTGGAAAAAAAAACGAAACCGAGCAGCAGATACAAAGGAAAACACGCTACGGGGTCTTTTAGAATGGGGGACTTCTTATTTTGTTACACTCACAAAAGGGATATTTGGGACCCGAAAGGTAGCGACTTACACGTATTTCGGGCTTGTCCGGTACGAGCTGCTTAACTTGGTATGCTTTATATATTTACAGCAAAGTTACTACCTAACTGCCTTGTATTACCCACAATATTTACCTTCCTACCAACCGCCCCTCGGTGTCTCAGCCAGGCGCGCACCCCTGCGCACCCCCGCGCGTACACATACACGTGCGCGCACACGCACTTTCTCCTCATCTCCTTCTTTACAAGATTCCAAAATTTCTACTCACACACACAAAAACAAACAAGCAAACAAACAAACAAACAAACCCAAAACCAAAACAACAAACCCAAACCAAAACCAAACCCAGAAACAAACAAACAAACAAAATATCCAAAAACCAAACCCAAAACAAACAAAAAAAACAACAGAACAAAACCAACTAAAAACCCCTAACCCAAACCCCAAGCAAACCCCGTCTGTATTAAGCTGACGCGCAGCCTGCAGCTAACCTCTCGCCTGGGCAGTGAGGTGGACGTGAGCAGGAGAAACTGCGTGGCCGTGGGTGTGTGTGTGTGTGCTGGCGGGGGTAGAAAATTAAATAGTCTGATAAAGAAAGTTAATTCAAACTACATGTCGTACACAATAAACTATCTTTTTATTTTGATTATAAATAAGGTGACTGTAATTCCCTCAAAATACAAGTACATAGGAAAACCTGGTAGAAATTATTCTCTCTCTCTTTTTTTTTTTTTTTTTTTTTTTTTTTAAAACAAGGTATTAAAACTGGACGCTCTTTAAATCGGCCGCATGTTCTATACTGTCAGCAGGTTCTTCGTTAATTTGTTTCTAGTCGCGTTAGACTTTTACCTTCTGTCTCCTCCGTGACTTTGGCATTTGAATTTCTACTCCCGGAATACTTTGCTTTCTTCAGCAAGAAGTCTCTGAGGTGGCCCCCGCCCCCCCCCCCCGCCCCCCCCCCCCCCAATAATCGGGCTAATGAATTTGGACTCGATCCCTTCGCTCTCGAGTTGTGAATTCCACGCCTTTGCTTGTCACTTCTGTACGCTGAGGACTGATCCTGCATCCCGTTAACTCCCTGGAGCAGCTCCCCTCTGGGAACAGGGTCCGGGCCCTGGGAGGGGCAGGGACCTGGCGGGATTTGGCAGCATCCCGGGTTGTTTTTCCATCAAGAAAAAAGAAAAAAAAAAAAAAGAAGAAGAAGAAAAAAAAAAAGATGCGGGGAAGGAAGGGTCTGGAGGGGGAACCAAAGGGAAATAAAAAAAGAATATTCGTAATGTGTATAATTTATTAGAAGCTTCTTAGGAACTATATTTAAGCCAAATATCTACATAAGTTACAACAGGAAAAGGCGGCGTGCGCAAATAACAAACTGCCAGAGGATTTACGACGGGGCGATCAGTGTCCATAAAAAAGGTGGGGGTTGGTTTGGTTGATTGTATTTTTTTTTCTTTTTCTTTTTACAACAAAATATACAGGCTACTAAAAACTATGGGTTTAGTCCAACTTTTGACAGCATTATACAGCTACATGTTCACATCAAACGTAAGGAGGAAAATAAAAGCCAAGCCTTTGATGACTCCACGTCTCCATCCGCTGGCCCTGGCGGTGGGGCTGGGAGGGGAGACCGGGGGAGGGGGGAAGCTGCTTCTTGTGTCTGGGTGACGCGAATGCGTTTTTTTGGGGAAAACCACCCCATCCCCCAAAATCTCTATATTTACATGCAAGTCCTAGACGCTGGCAAAGTGTACATCTGAAATCCAAGCCTTCGGACCATGCCTAACTATGGTCCCCTTTCTGCAGACTGCTCCGTGGTAATTAGTCAGAATTTTTTTTATCACCCCATAGAACAACCTTGGAAAAATAAACAATAACATAAAAAAAAAAAAAAAAAAAGCCCAAAACCATCAAGAGTAACAACAAAACCGAAAAAAATAAAGTCTCTCTCTCGGAGGTCCTCAGAGAACCACTCAATAAAACCGGGGTGGGGGGCGGGAGGGGGCGGGCGGGGGGGGAAGCGCGTTAAAAAAAAAAAAAAAAAAAAAAGAAAGAGAAAAGAAAAGAAAAGAAAAACACCCAGTAGTTTGGACAGGACAGAGATTTGTGTGACTGGGAAAATCTGCCTTTTTTTTTTTCCTTTGCTTTTTTTTTTTTTTTTTTCCTTTCTTATTTTTTTCTTTTGCTTTGTTTAATCCTTTCACCAGGTCCTACCGTATAGCAAGGTGGAGCAAGACATGGCAGTGCCATAGTCAGAAGTAGAAGAGTTTAGGTGAGACAAACTGGAGACTTGGCTCTGCAGAGAGGAAGGGCTGGCCGAGTGCTGTCCCATGTCTGGAGACTGCCCCGCACTGTTTGTCTGGTGGCTCTGATGCTGTCCGAGGCTGTTGCCATTGGTAGCCACTGTGATCGTTGTAGCTGCCTGCTGCTGATGGCTCTGGATAGCTGCTGTGGGTGTGTTGGAGCCTGCTTGGCAGGGTTTGCCATCCTTTACAAGCACTGGCACTGCCACCCTTCTGGGAGACTGCTGCTGCTGGCAAGAGCCGTTCTCCTGTTGCATCTGCTGCTGCGCAGCCTTGTCTTTGGCCTGGCGTTTCATCTTGTAGCGGTGGTTCTGGAACCAGATTTTGACCTGAGTCGGGGTGAGATGTATCATGCTGGCTAAATGTTCCCTCTCCGGGGCGGAGAGGTATTTCTGCTGCTTGAAACGTCTCTCCAGCTCGTAAACCTGGGCCTGGGAAAAAAGGACCCTCCGTTTCCTCCGCGGCGTGCTCTGGAGCGGGGCCATGCTCTTGCTCACGTCTCCCAGGGAGCCGAGGCTGCCCATGCCGCCCATGTTCATGCCCGAGGACGGCGCCATGAAGCGGGAGACTGCAAGGGAGAAGGCGGCACGTTTTAGGCGGCTCGGCCTGGCCCGAGCCGGGCTCCGCGCTCCGGCGGCCCCCGCCGCCGCTCGCCCCCGGCAGCCCCCCGGCAGCCCAACCCGGCCGCGGCCTCGGGGCGCCCCCCGCTCCCAAACAAGGACCCGCGGCCCCGGCGGGGCGAGCGGCGGGCGACGGGACCCTCCTATTGACCGGCCCGGCCCCGGTGAATAAAGGCGACCGCTCGTCCCTTCTCCCTGCCCGTGGGGGGGGGGGGTGGGAGTGGGGGTGGGGGGGCGTGGGGGGTGACACCCGAGCGAGTACCTGGTGTGACAGCGCGGCGGGAGCGGCCGGGGACGGGGGCTCCGCCGGCGCCGGCCGGGGCGGACTCGACCGTTCCCCCCCCGCCCGCGCCTCCCGGGACTCGGCTCCCGCGGCTCCGGCTTCCCCCTCGCCCGCCCGGGGCCGGGCAGCGCGCAGGCGGACAGGCACCGCCGGCTCCCTCCCGGGCCCCCGGGCCGTCCCGCTGCAGCCCCGCTGGACGGCGAGCCCCGGGCTCCCGCTCCACGCCACCGCGGGGCTTCCCACCCCTTCCCCCCCGCAAAAGCAGCCCCGGGGAGGCTGACATGAAACCAGCCGGGGGAGGACGGTCCGGGCACGATCCTCGGGCAGGAGGAGGGATTGGGGGGGCGGGGGGGGACACACACACACACACACGACACGACTGGGGTTTGGTTGGACCGACTTTTGCCCTGGCGCGGAGCCCCCGGCGCCCGTTGCCCGTGGTGCGGCGGGGCAGGTGCGCAGCCACCCCCCGCCGGCCACCCAGCCCCGGGGTGACTTACTTGAGGAGAAGCGGGGGTCCGGGTTGGTGCCGTACCATCCTGTCGCCGAAGCGCTGTTCCGCATGGTGTCCTGGTAAGGCGGGAGCTCGCTCATGTTGCCCAGGTTCCCATTGCAGTAGCCCCCCATCGTAGCATGGGAGAGCTGGGGGACCCCTGCCGCTGTCATATGGTAGGCGGCAGTCACTGTTCCGTTGTGGCCCATGGGGTGCTGCTGCATGGCCGGCTGAGAAACCTGAGACTGTCTGTAGGCTGACAAGGGAGCCCCCAAGTTACTGCCCTCCATGCCCACTTTCTTGTAGCTTTCCTCCAAAGGACTCAAGATGTCAGACACTGAGAAAGGAGTCGTATGCTTTGGGCTCATCGACATGATTCGGCGGCTGGGGAAAAAAAAAAAAAAAAAAAAAAAAAAAGGAAGGGGAGGCAAATCTTTTTTTTTTTTTTTTTTTTTTTTTTTTTTTGCCAAATATTCTGGTGTTGCCTTAACGCCGATCTTGTTGGATGTACACGTAACCGAGTGGACGAAGTCCGCCTTAATTGGATTGAGTGGAGGCTCAGGGCTGCCTTTCGTTTGTTTTAGCCAGACGCCAGGTTTTAGGCTGCCACCAGAGGCGGGGCATAGGCACTAAAGCAACAAGACAATAGAAGCCTACATCTTGCCCAAGATAATTAGCTTACATGCTGATGACAAGGTAAACACCTTTAAGTTTTACTTGTCAGGATTTTTTTTTTTTATGTCTTTAAAAAAAGAGAGAGAGGGAGAGAGAGGGAGAGCGAGAGAAAGAGAGAGAGAGACCCCGTGAGCACAACTCATTTTATTTTTCTCGGGGGTGGCAATATCGTGGACGGGAAATGGAAGGCAAGGCGAAAAGACCCCCATTTGCCTGGGTGAAAGGATTTTAAATCAGCTCGCGGGTGGCAAGGCTGCCAGCCCGGGCTTTGTGACAGCCAGGGAGACGGGGCTGAGCGCCGGTGTGCTAAAGGACCGAGTCCCCTTCTCCCCCACCAAGTTTGGTGTGGAGGGAGCCCCGCGGCCGGGAGGGCAGCTCTCCGGAGGGCAGACGTCCCGCTCGGGGCTGGGATCCCCGCACTGCCCTGCCCGGGACCCGGCGGCTCAACAGCGCTCGGGATTTAGCACCTCGGGAACCTTCTCTATCTCTGCTCAGACCCCCAGTGCGAGACCCCCAGTGCGAAGATCGCTTCTCTCCCTAAACCCATAAGTTCCGTTCACCTAGGGTTTGGGTGTTTGTGGTTTGGTTTTTTTTTTTGTTTGTTTGTTTTTTTTTTCTTTTCTTTTCTTTTTTTTTTTTTTTTTTTTTTTTTTTTTTTCCTAGCCTCAGAGAGAGGTGGAAGATGAAAGTTTGCAAAAACAATCAGTAATTTAATTGCCTGGGGCGAGGGACCGCTGAAAAACAGGTTAGCGCAAAATGTCGCTTGTTATTCTCAAAGGCAAAGATTGTCACAGGCTCTCGTGGTCCCTCTGAACCTGAAGTTGCTTTCTAAGGTTATTTATACGCACGGGAGCTAGATGGAGAAGACCTCTCAGGTCATCTGCTACAGCACCTTGCCAATGAATTCCCTTCAGTTTCGAATAAACTGCAATTTCTGGCACTTTGGGATCTGTTCTCGGATCCGGTGTGAAAACAAAAGCAAGCCCATTCAAAGCCACACACACGTACATGCAGCCAGCAGCTAATGTCACTCGGGTCTTTGAAGAAATCGCCCAAGTTGTCTAGTGTCTCCAAAGCTTGTATTTCAGGGTGTTCCCAGTCAGAGGAGAAAAACCTTCCCTGAGTGTTTCACACCCCGGCCTACAGCCCTGGCAAACCCAATTTAATGCAGCGATTACCTGAATATTAAGAAAATTACAGCGAAGGTACAGTTAACCCAGTGACTTTGAAGTGTCAAGTAACTATTTAGTAATTGCACTTGTAAATATGTTTGTGCTCGGCTGGTTCGTGCTTAAAAATGCAAAAGTGCACTTGCTACCCGGGAATAACTAAATATCTTTGTCTAAAGTGGCAGCATAAATAGCCGGTCGCTTTGTGACTGTGCTTGATATTAGTACATAAGGATCATTTTGCTTCAATTGGGAGGCTCTCATTCACTAGGCAAGAAACCGTTTAGGAGAAAGTAGGTTCCCGTATGAGAGTTAACATCCTTCAAGTGTAAGCCTCAGCCTTGATTACACTTTAGAGCTCTGCAAGAGGTGAGCTTTTCCACACAAATATAATCGGGGGAACTTTCCTTCAATCAGGCCTCCAGCTCTCCTGCATCATCTCAGCTGCCTCTTTCGGCATCAGATCCCTCAAGGCTGAATACCCCGAAGTGGGCTTGTTGTGAGTCTGCTGGGTCACCAAAGGCAGGGAAGGGCGACTTTGGGCTAGAGAGGAGGCTGTTTTTACCTCTTTTCTTTCCAGATCTTTAGATCTTGTCTTTCTGGATCCCTGGAACATTTCTCTCTCCCCATCCCCCGCGCCCCCTTTTTTCCCCTTCCTGCACGTGTTTTTCAGGACGGTCTTCGGGTTTGGTTCCTACAGAGACACTCGACCTGGTGGTGGTTTTCCCGCCCCCCCCCCCCCTTCAGGATTTCTCAGACACATCAGCCTCCGTGCCTGTCTTACTAGCCTTAAAAAGGAGCGGGTGGATGGAGTGTGTGTGGGAAATTAAATACCGCAGGATCCACCAAAATGACGCTGCGGTCCGCTTAAATCAGAGACGAACGGCAGCGAGTGACCGCGCAATTTGTGGGGCAGGAGCGGCCATCCCGTTTCTCCCCCGGGACTGCGAGATGGGGCAGCTGGGGAGGCCCCAGCGCCGGCTCCGGCGGCGGGGGGCGGCGGGGGGCGGCGGGGGGCGGCGGGGAGCGGGGCCGGCGGAGGCGCCCGCCGCCCGCCCTGCGCCTGCCCGGGGGCGCCGCCGGAACGGCCCCTTCCACCGCCGGCTGCGGCTGGGCGAGCTTGTCCCTCCGGAGCGCAGGTTCAGTCGCCCCCGACACATTGCTCCGTTAGTGACCCGAGCGAGCCCAGCCTTGACTCCGAGCGGGGTCTCGCAGGGGGAAGTTAATGAGAGGGGTCTTCACACCCCCTACCCCCCCTCCGCAAGGGAGCGGGATGAAACTCTCTTACTTAGTAAGACGCGCGTCCAGGCACAGCTACGCCCCGCAAGGTCCGGACAGCACTTTTTAGCCCCTCTAGATCGACCGACTTGGTGAAAAGGAATCAGGTCAGCCCCTTCTCCTCCTTTCTCGCCCGCGAAGGAGCTATAACGGGGCGAGTCAAACCGCGGGCAAGTGGCGAGAAAGGTTCTCCGCTGCTGCCCTGTCCCGTCCGCTCGCCCTTTTCTTTCAACCCCTCCACCCAAGTTTCCTCTGGCAGAGCTGGCCCCCCGCGGCCCCCGGGGAGGGTGGCCGCCCCCGCTGGGTCCTGTCTAGGCTGCCTCTAGTGATGTGTTCGTTTACCTGGTGATGCTGCTTAGTAAAACGCTCGAGTTAAAAAGAAATGCTAAAGAGGAGAGCAGGGAAGATGAGATGCGTTTTGCCTGGTGGAAGCATTTTCATGAGAAAGGCACGGTCTTCACCCCGTGTTTGCAGAATGCGGCTACACGGACGTCCCTTCAATAGCTTCTGACCCCACACAATCCGTTTGATAACACTCGAGAGGTGGAAGAATGGGAGACTTTGTCAATCAAATGGTGCCAATCCCAATGGAAACGGTGCCACCAAGACCGCAGCACGTTTCCTCATCAACTGGATTGCGGGGGCTGGGAACTCAAGGATCAGCTTTTGAAAGTGCGCACAGGGCTCTCCAAAGACAACAATGTCTTTTCTATACGAGCTGCTGTGCCTCCCCAAGGGGAATCAAATGTTCTCGGCCAGCCAGAGCCGCCGAAGGGCTCTGGCTCTGCTTTGCCACCCGTTTCGCCGGGCAGGAGCCGCGGGGCTGGGGGGTGGCATTTCTGCCTAGTCTGGCGCCTAACTCGGCTCCTTTGCCCCAAATCGCTTTTCCCCTCCTTTGGGCACTTTCGGCTCCCGCGGTGGCTCCGCGCTTTTCCACCGCAAGTGGAGCCCACGGGAGCGCCGTCCCGATTCAGCGCGGCGTTTAAGCATGTGCTCAGGTGTGAGCTGTCGGCTGGGCTGGCTGAAAACTTCGGGGCACCTAGGCTCAAAGGGGAGAGGGGAAAGGTGCCACGCAATCCGCAGGCAAATTCTTTCTCCACAAGAGAGACACTTCCTAAGTGCAACTTTTTGATACAAAGGCGTGAGGCGCACCCTGCTCCCCGTGGGCCGACTCACGGGTTCGTGTCTGGCTGCACCAAGCCACGGGCACCCGAAGCATCCCCTGACCAGCCCTGCCCCCCGCTCTCAGTGCCGAGGGGGCGGCCCTGCCCGCAGCCTCCCCCGCCGGGGGAGCGGGGCTCGGCGGGCTCGGCGGCGGGGCCAGCCGCTCCTGGAGAACTCGGAGTTAAAGGGGGCAAGAGGAGAGCTGGGACAGAAGTCTTTCTTCTCTCCTGGCCGTCAGCACAACTCTTCACGCATCCACAGAGAGATCGAAATTACCATCCCAAAGCCCTCCGCCTGGAAATGGGGCACCACCGAGGCAACTGGCTGCAGCTCTCCCCTCTCGACTCACCCTCAGCCAGCTCATGGAAACTTCGTCACTGATTTCTTGTGCATGCCCTTCTAATACACCCCTTGTCCCCCTGTTTCCCCCTCACACCCTCCCCCCCCCCCCCCAAAAAAAAAAAAAAAAAAAAAAAGGAAGATGTTCCCGGAGCCCACGCCGGGCGGGAGGGAGGAAGCGGAGGTTTCGGCAGTGCCCAGGCAGGGCGGCCGCGGGCGGGCGGGCGCGGGGAGCCGCTCCCTGCCTGGGAAGCCCATGGTTGGGCGTGGGAGGCTGCAGTGCTCCCCAGACACGCTCCCTGCGAGCGCTCCCTAGGCACAGGGCGCTCGGGGGGAAAAACAAAACAAAACAAAACAACACAAAACAAAACAAAACAAAACAAAACAAAACAAAACAAAACAAAACAAAACAAAACAAAACAAAACAAAACAAAACAAAACAAAACAAAACAAAACAAAACAACTCTTGATGTGACTGATGGGGAAAATTCCCCGCCGTGGGAAAGCCCCCCTGCCCGGGTTATCTCGCTCGGGTGGGAGAAACCCCACAATACACCGGTCGAGATCTCTTCCCCTGGGGTGGGAATCTAAGAAAACAAGCGAAACCACCAAAGGCTAAAGCGAAAATCCTCACCCCTCCGCAGCGCACGCACAGTTGCTCCTCCAGCTGCTCAGGGCGTGGAGCATCTCGCATCTGGGGGTTCTGGGGGCCCCTCCGCCACCGGTCCCCGGCGGCCCCACTCGCAAGTCTCTGAGCGAGGGCAGCGCTGCCTCCTCGCAGCTCTTTTCCCTCCTTCCCCAATTCCTGGCGGGCGGCTGAGCCCTCCTGCCCTAATCCTCCGACACCCCCCCCCCCCCCCGTCTTTTCCTTTGCCGGGCCGTTCCCGGCCACGAGGGCCAGGGTGGGGCCGGGCCCGGGTGCCAGGGCAGGGCTCCCGGAGCCGCCGTGCCAGGGTGGGGGCGGCGGGGCCCCGCGGCGCGCCTCGGCCCCACGGCCACACCGCGCCCCTCCGCGGCTGCCCCGCGTGGGGGGCCGGGGGAAGGGGCTCTTGGTAGGCTTGGGTGCCCCGGTAGCCTGGGGCGGGTAGCAGCAGCACTCGCGCCGAGGTATGATCTGTTGTCTGACCCCCTCGTCCTAGCACCGTTATTATTAGCAATTAATATAATGTCCTCCACATCTGGCTTCCTTAATGCCAGCGGGCCCTCACCGCCGCAACGCTGTCACTACACATACACAAGAGTTGTCGTTGTCCCGAAGCATTTTTAATACATCCAAGTATCAAATTGATTTCTGCGGAGGATTTCTGGAAGGTGGTTGTTGAGACAATCTACAGGAAGTTGTTCTACAGGGATAGTTAAAAATATAGGCATGGATTATATAGATATAAATACATACGTAAATACTTTTTATCGGAACATACTTAGAAACAGAATCCTGTCAGATGGATCTGTTTAGCTGGTTTTAGATATAGTTACTAATATTTTACATTAGATAGTTTAGGAGTTAGTGCTTTTGTATGTATACCCAATACACGCGCACACACACACACACACACACACGTGTGGAGTGCCTACCTCCGGCAGTGGGTATGCATGAGTATATATTTACGCATACATTCCTAGTCCTCAGCCCTGTCGTCTCTAAGTGTTTCAAAAAAGAACTGCGCTTTTAAGTGGGTCACCTTGCCGCCCCCCCGCCCCTCCCCGTCCCTGGCCCCCCGCCGGGGCCCTGCAGCGGTACGGCAGGCCCACGGCGCCGGGACAAGGGGCTGCCGGCTCCCGAGCGGGGCTGGGCGCGGGGCCGGCGGACACGAGTGTGCCTGTGGGTGCAGAGCGGCGGGGCGGGACGGGAGCCGGCCCCAGCAGTTTGATTTACCGTAGCCTTTTTTTTTTTTTTTTTTTTTTTTTCGGCGGCCGGTTTCAGCGTGGCTGGCGGCGGCGGCGGGCGGGGACGGGGCACGTTGCGCGCTGCCCCCTGGTTTGGTCTCGAAATCCCCCCCTTGCCCCCGGGCTGCCCTGTCGAGGGGCTAGAGGAGCCGCAGCCCGCCCTGGGCGCGCTGCGGGGCGGGGGCTCCGCGCCCTCCCGCGCCCTCCCGCGCCCTCCCGCGCCCTCGGGGCTGCGCGGACGGCGCACGGCCGCGGGCCGGGCCCGGGACCCCCGCGGCGCTCCCCCGCGCCCGCCGGCGGTACGTGCGCTGGCGAGAAGGCGACCTTTCCCCCTCGACCTTTCCCCGGGGGTAACCAAAGCTCCCTTTTATTTTCAATGTCACTTCGGAGTTTGCCTTTTGTTCCCCGCTACCTCTCGCTTCCAGGGTTACGGGCGGCTTCCCGCTGGCTCGGGGAGGGGCGAGCGGTTGCAAAGATACCTCATTTAAAAACGACAATGGAGCCCTTTCGACCAGCCCGGGTGGTGCCCGAGCTTTATTTTCGGGCCGGGGGGAAGGGAATTGTTTGCTTTGCTTTTGTTTTCACGGCAAAACTCGAGGGCAAGTTACAGGAGGGCTGCGAGGAGCCCCGGCCCTTCCTCGTTGCCCCAAGGCAGCGGGCAGGGGCACCCAGCCGAGGGCCGGCGCATCCGCCGGGATGCCCACGGCAGCCTGGGAACCCGCGCAAACTGCGCGGCTTCAGGGAGGATCTGTCCGCAGCTGCCTTGCTGTCACTGACTTCGGAGTGACCGAGTGCCCCCAAACCCTACTCGGCCTCCCCTCTGCTCCCCAATCTGTGTCTTGGGCTGGGCTCCCCCAGGGGCTTTAATTCGGAAGGAAGCTGTCAGCTGCCCCGCTGTGCCCTTGGCTGCTTCTCCTTGGCAGGGGCGATCCCGGCGAGCTGAGGCGCGGCACTTGCGCTCCTGCGGATCCCGCTGCCAGACGGGCCCCGGGAGCGTCGCGTCGCGGCCGGATCCCCGCGGGCCCTCGGGGCGGTGGCGACCCACAGCAGCCTCCGCTGGCCACGGGGGGAAGTGCAGCGCCGGGCCCGGGCCACGGCGGCCGGAGCTCCCCTGGCCCCGCCGACCTGCGGCTGCTGGCAAAATTTCGCCCTAACCAGGACAAAAGCAAGAAAATGAGGAAATAGAACGGCATTTTGCTCAGTCGGCCTCGTCAGACACCGATGTAATTACGTGGATATTCGTTCCTCTTCACCGTGCACTGCTCCAGATCTCCAGGGGAGGATTAGCTTCTTTTAATGTTGCTGCAGCTCCTCCTCAACACCCTCCCCTAGACGGAGCTTGGCCTCTGAGCACGATTCTTCCCCCTGCAATTAGCCTGCTCCTGGATCAAGAGCAGCTGTTTAATAATTTGTGACTGTTCCAAGTGTTCACTGTTGAGCAGCACAGTCAAACAGTTTCACATTGTGCTCTTGACAGTTCATGGTCACATACACAAAAGATTCTCGCTCAGAAACTGCCTGTTGGTTGTGACTCTGCCTCTTCCCCATCTGCTTCCTACCCCCTGAGCCTGCAGCTCATGGGGGCTGAGCTCAGTCCCCCCTCTTCAGGCGCAGCCTGGTTCCCCCACGTTCTTCCCTGAGTGTGGGGAGTGAATCTGCTGTGCCATGGGGGGCTGAAGTCCTCCGAGGTAGAGCTGAGATGAGTCAGTGAGCTGGCCTGGAAGGGCCAGACTGACCCAAGTGCCCACTGTGAGTGGCAGGTGGATCTGTTTATTTCTCACGTGAGCCTTAAAATCAACATATCCCCTGAGTCTTTAAGAAAAAAAAATAATCCCAATTGATTTTCTTCTGTTCCTTTCCTGGGAGAGAGGACACAGAGGTTTCCTAGGCAAAGAGGACCATTTCAGAAGCCCAAGGGCAATTCTAGGGATGTTTCAGAAGTCTCCTTTTCACTTCATGGGAACCAGAGTCTCTGGGAAGATCATGCCCTCAGTCTGGCTAGTACAACTGGTAGGTCTAGTTAAAAGCTGATGTAAAAAGCTGCAGCACAAAGGAAGCCATTTGTAGGGAAACTCAACAATGAACTTTATTGGTCCTGCTACCAAACCCATTAACAAAGCTATACACTCTGCAGCATTGTTTCCAGGCCTGGGTTTTGTTAACCAGATACTGACATATATATGGCCCAGGGTGCTGATGTAACAGGTGCATTCCTCTTGCCAGGAAAGGCTTCAGTTCAGTTACCAGTTTCAGCTAGTTCAGCTTCTAGGTACCACTCTTTAAAGAGTTTCCTGCTGTAAATAGGGTCTGAAAAGTTCATTGTACAGTGGGATGTATGCATGGCATGCATGGTATATACATGGCAGGGAAGCTCTATTCGGGCCATGAGACCTGTGTGCCACAGAAGGAATTTGACTACTCTGACAACAGCTCTCATCCCCTATAAGGTGATGGATCTGCCGGATCAGGCTCCATCAGCTGGACTGCCCTGCAATTCTGAACCTTTCAAAGAGCGCTGTAAAACCAGCTTACGCGGCTGTCTCACTCCAGCATCAGTGGCACCCTGTTGCTGTATATAGCTATGGAAGCAGAGTCCCTCTATTTTATGTAAGAAATGGAGATGGGGAATAGTGAACTACAACTGTTTGCAATACTGAATTACCACCGGGAGCAATGGGTGTCTATGATTTTCCATTACTGCACGTACTCAGTATCCTTGTCCAAACACTGGCATTTTCACTCTCTGACACTGACTCTGCCAAATATATTTGTTTATATGAGCTGCACAGTGCAAAGTATGGGGTCTGCCAGGATGTTTTTGTTGCCAAGGGAGGTGAAGCAAACGCTTAATCAAAACGTTTCACCTTTTCCTTCTCCCCAAAAGAACCACTAAGCTGGCAAAGAAAGAACCCAGTTGGAAAGGGACTTTTCACCCACTCTTGCAAGTATGAGAAGAATAGAGCTGCTCCTAAATGAGCTGCTCTTATTGTAATCAGCTGATGTCCACATCTTCCTTTGTTGCCCCCAGCAGCAACCTCTCTTCCCTTTGGACATGTTATTGATCCATTGAGCGGGATTCTTTGGCTTCCATATTTCTAGGGGATGGGTAGTACGGTTCCACTTGCAGCCGAGTGATGATCAAAATGTTTCACAGATATAACAAAAGATAGGCTGAGCCTTGTAGAACCTTTCTTCCTGGAGTTGATCGGCAAGAAGGAAAGAATGAAATTCAGCTTGAGGTTCAGTTGGGTTGAAGGACCGAGAGTTGGAAAACAAAAACAAAACCTATTTGTATTGTAACCTAAAAAATGCACCCAAGAAGTTTCTGAAGGTTCAGAAGTATTTTACCTTTGAATTAGAACAGCACTTTCTATTCAGATAAAAATCCTAAAACATGTGCTAAAACAAGTCCTTGCTAGCAGCTCTATTTTCTGTTTCCTCAGACATTAGTCATTATTAGCATTCTAGTGCAGAAGAGCCTCCATGTAGCAGGACTATCTTCTAAATTACTTTGGATGATAGACATAATGAAGTTAAAAATTTCACTCATCTTTGCCCTGTCATAAATGAAAGCACATATTATACTCATTCAAAAAATAGCTAACCATAGAGTTAGGTTCAAGTTACATTTTCAATATAGAAATGTTTATGCTGAAAAAGCCTAGATACTTTCTTGGAAGTAGTTTAATGATGTAAAATAGTCCATTAATGGATTTTGACTACTGTGCAGTTTTTAAAATAATGTCCCTTATAATTAGTTGTTTCATCATTCCTTTATGTGGCTTGCTTATTTCAAATTC